TGGCAAGGTCATATACGATGGATGTCGATGGTCAAATGTCAAGGTCGAACTCTGAAGAAGCCGAAGGTCATATGTCAGGGTAACCAAGCCAAGAGGATTTGTTTGTAAACGTTGCATGTTAAAAGGCCTTTTTTATTTTAGAAACTAATAACAAACTTGCACGAAAATTTGCTTTACATGAGCATAGAAGGATATTAAACGAACAAATATTTCAGACAATGCCAACCGTTCTTGTACACCCGCCAGAAGGATGACTTTGCAACGAGGAGGTCTGGTAGCGTAACCTTCACACTTTGACACCTTCAGAAGGATTATTTGTAACTTTTTTTTACAAAGTATGTATTTAAAAACTTAAATAAGTGTAAATAATACTCCTTACATATTAAAGAGGGGAAAAGAATACATCCTAGTCCATACAAGTTACAAGTCAATGCTGTATCTAAGCAAGGTTACTAATCTGGTAGTAACACAATTTTACATTCGCATTTTTCTGATCCTCACGTTCTATTATAATATCCAGCTGCTATGTCATCTGTTAGTCAAACATGTGTATAGGTCTGTTTTTTCATCAGTTTCAGAATCAAAGAGAAAACGCTTACCCTTCTGGAACACCTGGTCTCATTTGTATTGGGTGGTTTTTTCAAGGGACTCAATGTTATTCTTTCCATGGTTCATATTGTCTGTTACTTTATCTATTTTGAATTCGATCTACGGTTTTGTAAACGTTTGGTATTTAAAAGAGAATTCTCCGAACACCGATCCCTGAAGATCCTCGAAACATGAAATATCGTCATCTAAGGAAGCAGTTCCTATACAGTAATAGACTGGATCCAGCATAGTTCATCACTAGTCAGCACAGAGGAGTAAACTTGCATTTTAAGCAGTCAACACTGGCCAACGACGTCAACTATAGCATGAGAAACACCACTTTACACGTGTCTACCGAGGCGACAGCGATGTCATTATAAACACGTTGGAGAGTCATCTGAGTGTATCGTGTGATAGGCCGATGGCATGTTGCCATTCATCTTTTAAATCCAAAGTTTCAGATCTCGATAAACATATCTTCTCTTCGCCTTTGGAAAATATGCCTTGACAAAATCGAGGTCTCCCGTTAAGCTATTTGGTTGGTTTCAGAAATAATATCCTGACCAATCGCAAAGCTGGAAATGATACCTGCCGATTTTACCGTTATGCCGCCGCGCGATTTCTTTGATCTTCCTTATTCAAAGAACGTAGAAAAGGTGTCATGTCGAGAGCGGGACCCTTGTATTTCGAATATGGTTGCCGTCATACAAGGAGATTATTTAAAAGGAGATATACCTTTAGTCGCTTGCTTTCAATATGTACAATTAAAGAAACAATGCTTTTTCATTGGTCCAATGTGTTTCAAGAAAGTTTAAATTATGGACCACAGTTGAAAAAATATGGACTGAACAAGAACTATCGTCCAGTATCAAATCTATTGTTCGAAGATTTTATTTGAGATTGTGTTCCGGTTCCGGTTCTAAGACTCTGACAGCGAGTTTTTGGTGATCATGTGAAACTCGTCCCGGGTTGTTACTGCGAGGTGTCAGCGGTTCACCGTAGAATTGGATAACATTATGAAACCTGTTATTGGCAAATATACGTCGAAGCATCCCATTATCAACAATGCTGAGACCAATCGTAAGGACATTCAACGGGGCTATCGAAAAAACATGGACGACGAGGAAGTAAGTGGGGTGGTTGTTAGGTTGTCGTCAAGTCCGTTTATTTAAAAATAAACACTGAAGTTATTGTTTGATAAATTTCAAATTTAGCGTAATATTTGTACGCTATGATTTATGAAACCAGATGTGATAGGATTGATTGCAACGAATCAGTTTATCATGGCAAAATCGTGGTATTTGACATTTGGCTATAAGGTAAGCTAAGGTGTTTTTACTGGAGAAGTTTGCTGATAATTCACCTTTACGAACAATCACGTGTACAAACATAAAATACAGCGATATCTCGACAAAGAAAACATAACGTTACATTTTATAAATGGTCACTGTGACTTCAGCGCCTTAACTATTTACACATTTATTATTAAGGTTTCTTATCCTAGTGACGACTTTCTATGAGGGATATTTGTCCGAGGAAATGATATGTAAATCTCCAAACACAGCCACCACTGGTCACTAATGGTTAAAACTGGACCTGTGATCGCCGTGCGGAAGTGTAGCATTCACGCGTAGTATTTGGTGTTAATTGTTGATAAGTCCGTCCCTAATCTAACGCATACAAAACAAACCCCAGCAAACATTTGTCTGCCGAGGAAACTTACACAGCGGGTGTTGTAAGGCTTCATGTGCAAATGTTTGGTGGATATTTACAACCATTGTCAGACTCTGTGATAAGCGGAATCACCTGGGAATACCTGTACGATACCTGGCGATACGACTCACCCGGTGACGTAGACTGAGGTTTCTGGCACCCCGTGTCAGGGGCTGGGCAATGATAAGGGGAACTGGGGGCGGCCCTATCATATATCTGTACAACACTTGTGGACGGCCTGTCCGTCATAGTTCAGGCTAATTCAGGAACTCTTGAACGGTTTAAAAGAATTTGAAGCATGTTTGGACATTCCACACGAAATCCGTGTATTACGCATAACGTGTTCATCCATGAAAATGTTGTGGGTCGCCTTTTTAAATTTGAAGTTCGATTTGATGACATCTTTAAATCGAATAGGTTTACACATTATATAGGGCGCTGTATAAATGTTGTGTGTTATTAATATTAGCATCAATATGTGATATCGACCATTTCAATCACACGGATATGAGAATCAAGTTAATAGTGTTCATTTGAACATTTGGTAAAAATGGCATCACCCCCTCCCAAAGGAGGTATACGTCGAGAAAAGTTTCAAGTTTTTTACTTACTAAATGCAATACAGAATACAGGTTAAACAATTACATGTACATAACACATTACTCATAATTATAAGTACAATATACAAGATGGCGGAGTGTTTTTTTTTTTTATTTTTTACATTTAACATAAATTTGGACTTTCTCGCCTTAAAATCACATTTGTGGTTAGTGATTCTCTACAAATGATGACTGGTATCGGTGGGAAGATTTCATTTCCTTCAAATGTAATTGATGTCTATGCAAGGTTTGAACTCCCATAACACACGAACCCTTTCGACGGTCGAAGCTTTTGGTAATCATACCGCCACTTTGTGCATATTCGTGGTTTCATGAGATTGACGTGCCAACAGGCAAGATGCTTCACAGGTAAATGATGATGTTGGGAAATTCAGATTTCTCATTTAGTTAGTAAGTCCTTTTATCGACGGTAACTCACAAAGTGTCCCGAACAGCCGACTAAAATAATCAGCTAATGAAGCTGGTTCGCTCAAGCCATCAACTAGAGGACAACGATTTCGTGAATATGCGAAAAGTGGCAGCATAACTTATATATGGCTTGTATCTTATTGTAGAAAACGAATCTTTAGCCTAATCGGAATGACTGAGTTCCTCGTTGACACTTTTTTGGTTGTATTTGTCGGCTTGCTTTTCCAGCAGTTTGTTGACATTACCATGGTAACAAACTGTGCCCCACACATTTGTTTCCATATAGGCTAAAATCACTGAAGACCCTATCAGACCGGTAGCAAAACATAATGTTGCTTTCAAATATATCGAAGATGTGCTTTCTTTAAATTGACGACGTCGACCCTCCATAACCTCATACACTTGAAATCAAGGACATATTAGAGACGACTCTGCAACACCAGCGGTTTAAATCGATCTTAAACTTACAACGTGACCAACAGAGACGAGTTAATAAGATGTACGATCACTCCGACAATTCTGATTTTCAATCGTAAACTTTCCTCAATCTGATTAAAACCAGATCTTTGATTCCACTCCTGATACTCTACGTTCCAGTCTGGTTTCCAGTCCAAGCTGATTTGAGCACAGAATCCATACTTGAGCATGAGAACGGTTTCGTGAATATGGACCCTGGTGATTACATGTAACAAATGATTTGGTAAACAAAAGCTTGCTATAAATATCATGAAGTTTCAGCCACAGAAGGCTGAGAAACTTGCATCACAGGGTCCGGGTTTTAAGTTACCATCATGCTCTCGTTCTATTTCGTAGCGCGATATGAAGGTCGATGTTTAACTATGCTCATTAGTGTGTCTTTGTTTGGTTTCGTTGTCGATACCCCGGTTCTAACTTTGAAGACGTGGCATTATCTTACTTTGATTTGAACCTGATCTACATTGCGGGTGCCGTCGATAGAAATGAATGCCTGTTTTTTCAAAAGAGATATGTGTCATATTTATACATCTTGATTGTGTAAATAAATACATTTTAAGATGCGGTCACCTGCATATAAGAAGAGTAACACGTTTTGTTCATTGTTGAGACTGAGTTCCAGACAGACATCATTCAGTGGATCGTCGAGACTGCTGATGTGTTTCATATCTCGTGTCTCTAAAAATAGGCAAGATGAACAATGACCCTTGTGTGCGTTTCGTTAGCTGTCGACAATGGGTACATTTGTACACATATGACTATTATAAAGATCACACGCTTTTGTGTCAAAATCTATGGCAACATTGAAAACGTGATTTAAAATTATATTTAAATATAATTATTTCATCATAATAGTCAGTTATTGAAAATAAAACCAACTATCAATTTGTCTAAATTGGTAATTCGTCCGTTGGTACATCTTCAAATCAGCGGTGAATGTTCAATAAATACATAACGTTTACGCGCTATTATCATTTTGTTGAAATAGTTTGACTGTTTAAATATCTATAAACCATTTTCATTCAGACCGAAGCTCTACATATTAACCTATGAGGTGAGTGCCGCTTTTCTTTATATTATTAGCTTTATGTTAAAACTCCCAACTCTGTGTGTGAGAGTTGTGTGTATTTAGTCGCTGACTCACTGTATACATTCCCGAGTGTTCGCTGGTTGTCAGGTTCTCGCGTATTAAAACTGGGTAAGGTGAAGTGAGGTTGGGGGAAAACATACTATATACTTATACACGAGCACCGTGGCCTGCTCAGATAGTACGTAGACACTGCCGACGAAGGTTCGCTTACATGAACCGAACATTACCGAACTTTAACGAACTTCACCGAAGAAGGAAACGTAAATAGTGAAAGATATTATCATCTCAAATAATTCGTGCATAGAACTTAAAGAAAATGGATACGGCTTGTGGAGAATTTAACCCAGCTTTGGACAACCGTGACAAATATACGGAATCAATAGACCTGTCCAACAAGTGTCGCGAGTTTTACAGATGGAGGATGGAAAACATGGAGAAGTCTAAACAACGACTGTCCCCGACTCTCCGACCCGGACACAAGACAAAGAAATCCTCCATAGACGTTGCCATGGCAAAATTGGGCACAGAAATGGTAAGGATGTTTTCTCCGTTTTATTTGTTTCCGAAAAATCTGGAATTTAAAAAAAAATATGTCAAGGTATTGCGACAGTTTTGATAACATTGATATATAAAACCGCATCCTTCTAATCAAGTTTTGATTGAAAGTCTACTTAAAACTGATAAAAACTAATATGTTTATCACATTGAATATTAATACTTGTTTATTGAGTAAGCCTAAGTATATAATTGTAATAACAAATTGAAAAATATGATAACAGTACTTTAGATTTTATAATACGTGTATGGTATGTGTTCTTCAACTTTACATTTATAAACATATACAGGTATGCACCAGGACTAAACTCATTGACATCCATTTAAGGGAACATATAACTACTGATTTCAAAACATTGTATATTGTAACCGTCATATGATTTAGTCATTATCAGGTATGGCCTTCCGAATCAATTCGTGCTGTTAGTATATCAGTCATATCAAACGTAATGTAACGTTTCCAGGAGTAGAAGAAGATGAATAAAAAAGAAATTGATATATGAAATTCATATTTTGAGAAACAAAACAACCAAGAAATGTCGAAAGGTGAACACTGGAGGTGTTATGCGTTAACAACACAATATTGAGATAAAATGGTCGATGTGTCCCCAGAATCAAAGGTGAAATATAATGTAGATGGATTTTGGAACTACACATTGGCGAACAAATGTTAGTTGCTGAAATATATTTCAATATTTCAATTCAAAAGTTTATAAAAATGTCACCACTCAAATTATACCTGTCTACCGTATTCATGAAACCATTCTCATACTCCAGCAATGAGTCTGTGCTCAAACCAACTTTCGTATCACTCGCCTAAATCTAATGACATGGTAAAACAAGTCAGGTGAAAACTCTGAAAACAATATGCAGCTTCGAGTCTCTCCTGAATTCTTCCAAATTAATGTAAAAATGTGAAGTATTATTGATTTATCACCGGATAAAGAGACTAGAATTGAGCCCGAAGTCTGAGTTTGAGCAACAGAATGGTTTCGTGACTGCGGGCCCTGGTAGTCCAGTGGGTTAGAGCGATAGCACAACAATCTCGTGTCCAGGGTTCAAATCGGCTCTAGCCTAGCTAGGTGGATTTTTTTTTTATCATTTTCATTATATTTTCGTAAAAGTCTCGCAAGGTATTTTTTTTTATTTCAGAAATGATTAATTAAAGTTAGAGTCATGCCGAAAAACAGCAGTTTCTAAAGCATCGATACAGTTTTCAATGGGCAGTGGTACGGGGCTCCTTTATGGCACGTTATAACCTAGGCCTGGTTTCGTGAAACCGTCCTCATACTCAAACTCAGATTCTGTGCTCAATCCAATTTTCTTGTTCCAGTGATAAATTAATAAAAAGACCATTTTTTTTCTCTCAATGAGTTGAAACAATTTTGAAGAGACTATACGCCTTATATACCATGTTCAATATCTACACCTGACCTTTTGGTGTTCTAACATTATTTGTGCGAGTCACAAGAAAGTTGGTTTGAGCACAGAATTCACGCTTGAGCATGATAGTAGTTTCATGAATACGGGCCAAGGATCCTACTTAACTGTTCCTAAAATATAATCACTGCTTGATTGTGGGAAAGAGACAGTATTACCCATATAACAAAAACAAACCAGGAAGATATTTCAACTCAATCGTTGTACATATAACAGATTATTTGCGTTGACATGAGAAAGTTTATATTTCAGCCTTAGTCACGTATACAATGAACGCTGTCCGACGTGATTAAACGTTATGCCTGGTGTTTTATTTCCAACACGAGACCACGCTTCCTACAATTTTCATTTCCGTTATTTAGAGTTTATATGACCTATGCTATTATTATTACTTTCACGAATCCACGATTTTGACGTAAAACATGTCAGCGCATTGTAGCGTTTAAGTGCCTCTTACGATATCCGCTTTGTATCAACTTTCACACGTACTTAGTAATGAATGGTTTTGCGTGTACGTTTTAGCATTGCTTAGGAGGGTTAACGGGCGTTGTGCCCAAGTTCATCCGTCCAAATAAACACCTTGCATTTGTCTTTCAATCTTCTTGGAAGACATTTTGAACTTTGAAGGCATGAAAGTCGGATAGAAAAGTTATGTAAGATAAACTACCTAAAATACGGCGTCACCTATGACGTAAGTTGAAATGCTACACAATGATATTCATTGGGATACTCCGATAGCAGGACCTATTCTTAGACGTACCCCCATAACGGCCTTGGTTATCTCAACGATGAGAGAAAGCAGATGAGGATAAGCGGGAACAGTCGGAGTGGGATGAGGATGGGGAGGGGGAGAAGTAATTATAGCACTGGTATATATATATATACATACGGGGTGAATCTGTGTACCAAACAAAATTTTTTGCCGACCTTGCCACCAGACGGCGAGATCTATTAGTGTCAGTGGTATTTTTTTCCTGTACGACCACAAACGCCCGTCTTAAACACTAAACACAATCTAGTTCATCAAGATAGAACGGGCTAATTGAGAGTAATTCTCTGTCACGCGGAACCCCTTTCTCTAACATAACATACCTCATTCTTTCCTGTTATTTTCGGAATCTGTCTGTACTGAAAATACCACGAATTTATTTCAATTCCTGCATGGTGCCTGGATTCTGTAAAAAAAAATCTAAGTTAAAATAAACAACGAATTTTATAGAGGATTATATAATTCGAAAAACTCTGTTCATCCAACGTGTATACAAATTTAGAAATAAATGGCTGACAAGTATTAATTGCATGAGATAAGAGTCATTGATGAAATTGACCTGCATGATATTAGAAGCAAAGAATTATCGAAATGTGACTGATAAATCTATCGATCAGTTCGATACTTTGACATTTATTTGACAACCATTGATAAAAGAACAGCCAGCGACGTGCCAAAATGTTTGACCATAGACATACGGTGGCTCTCGGGACTCAAAAAACACTTACGCTGCCAAATATAAGTGGTAAAGATTAAGGAAATCGCTGATATTGAACTGTCGGGTAAAGTTGATAAAACCATCTACACAGATAGAGAGCTTTATATCTAAAAAATGCGTTAAAATGTTCATTTAAAATACTGCACTCAACAAAACCCAGTAATTAAATTTCGCGAGGACACTTTATAGGAACAATTCACGTTTGCTTACACTAATGAAATATGAAAATTAATCGGTAAAAACCCCGGATAATTTCGTTTAGAATAGTTTTTTTCTTAATAATTAACAAAAACCAGAAGAAAGCGCAACATAAATTTCAAAAGCCCTTTCGGTTATTGAAACTCGTAATATTGGTCAGTAAGAAGTTTTGGGGGACGGACGCATTCCAGTGACGGTAAGGGTAACAGTTCGGTAATCTAGTCTATTGACAACACATATACGAGATCAAAGCTGCCTCTCCTCATCCCAACAAGTACGAGATCAACTGTCCCGTTAATTATCAATCCAAGGAATGGATGCCTAAGTGACGGAGGAGAAGTGAAATGCTGTTTCTCGCACCCAGTAACCATTCTATTAACCCAAACACTCGGTGTTAGAAACACAGCGATGGGCTAATGTTTAAATATAGATAGGTGACAAAGCCGTTTAATCCAAGGTAATAGACAAATAAATAAAAGTTTGCTTTCATATCCTTCTATTGTTTGTCTTCCATTTACACGGCTACGGAATAACACACAGACACGCCCTCTGATTGGCTCAGGTGTTACGGTCGCCATCTTGATGACGTCATTCAGGATGACTTTACAGAAAAAATGAACCCGAGATACCATTTGATGGGTGTCCTGTAAAACACATCTATAAATCAGCCGTATACAATGTAAACTGTCGTTTGTTGAGTGAAGATGTTTGTAGAGTGAACAGTGGGCTTGTGAGAGAACAAGAGTACTTGAGAACTTCATGCAGTGGCTTCTTGAAGTGATCCATAAACATTAAATCTTCAAGGTTGCATTGTTGCTCAGACAAGCGATTCGTCCTCTTCTAAAACAAACTCAATCGACAAGAAATATTTTAAAGTGAATTCCGATAAACAAGTTATGACAAAACATTTAAACTCAACATTGAAGTTTTTGTTTTATTACTTTGATCTTGTACAACATACACACTCTAGTGTTCGGTTTGAGATCCTTCTCGTTTGAAAAGTGGAAAATATTAACATTCTCAAGGGACTTCAAACAAACGGCGTTAAACCATATATTTGTTGTGGGCGGGTTAAAGCTTTTTGTTCCAGTTATATCTTTTGTAGAAAAATTCTTTGTGCATTTATGTATATATCTATTTATATCCACGTTTTACAATGGTAACGCAATCTACTCACTAAGTATACGGACAGTTTGAGATATGACAGTCCCTTTACTGCTGTTATCAACGGAGTACACAAAGTACCGCCAAATTTTTTAATTGATATCATTTCCTTTTTAACAAGCTGTCCACCCAGATCATTAAAGTACATAACTTATGCATGAATACCTAGCGAAATGCGAGCGGCTACGAGCACCTGTCGTCCCCGAGTACTACAAAACGCGTCGGAGATACCCGGCGCCCTGCAATTGTTCACAACGAAGATATTTATGTAGTCATGTTGCCCAAGCTGTCATGACGACTGGGAACAACCCTCCCCCACTTACGGTGACAATGTATATCTCCATTCAAAGGTTTATTTTACTCTCCTTGTCAATGATATTAATAATGACAGCATTTACTCAAATTTCATAAAAATGAATGCGATATCAACATTGAAATCATTTCACCGCGTCGAATTATTTTTAAATGATTTTGATTTCTCCTATTTCTTAAATTATCGTTTGAAATGTGGTTGAGTCATGGTATTGATATGATTGATGGTTTCTGCGCTTAGGCGTCGAGTTTTTGTCCGATGTTTTGATAATACACACTGGAAAACCCAAAATTCTCTTCATATGATTCATTTAGAAGGAAAACGTTGCACTTAACTTTTTACGTAAATTTGATTTCTGAAGGCCTTGTACACGTCTGAACATTTTTGCATGTGTTCCACTGCGCTTGTTTCAGCGAAGGAAAATAAAAGGTACACATTCTGTGTTATACAGACCATTCTGATTTACTCTTCAACTGGAGATGGTTTCATAAGATTTCATGGGGATAATCTAATATCGTGTAAATAAATAGTGATATTTCATTTTCAACGTACTCACTGGTGAATGAAATTGACGAGTGAAAATCCCGATCCTAACTGTGATTGATTGAAATAGATTCAATTTAAATTTGAAAATTAGATACTCAATTGGTTATATTTAACTATAGTAATATTGCACTTCATGACCAATCATGATCGATATAAAGGTTTTATTTATATAATTAATTTAAAACAGAACTTCACGAAGCGGAACTTAGACCTAGTTTATCTCCGGTTTTTACTGATGACAGAATCATTTCATATCAGCAATCAGTTGTCAATTTCAATCAATTTCATTGCGTCACAGTCATTCAAATAGGCGGTCTATATGTAGTCCATTTATTTCAATTGAACATTTATTGATTTCCCACCTTTAGAAATCGTTCATCGTCACGAGTTCACTGTTATAAGGCGCGCTGACGCCATGTATGGCGCCCACAGGATTCCTGGTATCGTGCACGCGCCGGGTATTCAGGCCTTTAAGCTGGTAAAACAGGCATTCTTCACGTCCGTACAAAAACTGCACCGACAAGGATTAAAGGTTCAAAACATAAGTTCCTCTCTGCAAATGTCTGTGACAAGCTTGGCATTAGTGTTAAGTAAAGAGTACACATCTCGTACCACAGTAACGGGAAATGGAAGACGGATCCACTCAAATGTAGACTTAAGGTTTTGCCATTTGTAAGCGTCAAGATTTGGCAAATTTATTTCTATATTGACAATTTGACGTGTTTTCTGCGGCTTTTGAATACCGCTAATTCTGTTATATACGATGTTTGATGCAAGTGTCAGCTCAAGTTTTAACGAAACGAATTGCCGCTGGCGCGCTATTCTCCCATTCCCCAAAGGTATTTGCCATCGGCTTAAGATAGAATAGCATAATTACATACATAGAAATACATTATAAAAAAGATATTTTCACCGTGGAAGAAATATGTGTAGCTGTACTATTAAATCTCCCTCTACCGTTCCCATTTACAAGACGGATGGCTACTGTCTATATATTGTGTGATAAACAATCTATTTGTTTACGTAACGCGGCCATCGTGACAGTAGTAAATCAGAATATCGTGTCGTTGAAAGAATGGAGAAGCGATAAATATAAGTAACACGTAAATAACAAAAACATAAACCCTTGTACTTGCTGGAACGAGGGAAAGTTATAGCTTAAACAGACATTAATATATCATTAGGGATGTTTATAATGAAACTGCACTCTTACACGAAAATGCAGTCTTGGTTGCGCCGGTAACGCACGAGCACATCAAAGAGCGACATCTGCCGGTGTTGCGGTTTATGAGGTTTTGTCATGAGGCGATAAAACGGACGTAATAAACACTCCTTGTAATGTAACATGATAAGAGGAAGGGAGAGGAGGGGGTCGGGGGATAGCCCACTACATTATAAGTAGGTGGAAGGAGGGAGGGAAGCCAACTCTCTACCACACAAGTACCATAGTTCAGTTTCACCGCTCATGTTTCTTTGCTAGCCAAGTATTTTCGTACTTGTATGTATAATATGAAACTGCTCACATTCTTCATACAGTAAAAACAAATTGATTGACGATAACAAATCTTTAAGAATCCCAGACATATAAACCACTGTGTATTTTCTGTAATCAAGAAAACCACTTGGTGGTATCACTCTAGTTTGCGGTTGCGCACGTGCATCCAGTTATCGCGACAAGAGGAAATAGGTGCAGCATCTGACACGTGCCTATCGGTGTCACACACCTGATCACGTGACCCAGCCGGGAGTGTATCTTTCGCTGTTGTCTAAAAATTCCGGGGAAGTTTCCAATGTCGTTGAAAAGGGATTTAATTTAAATTCTATACAATACGTAACCCTAAAACAACAGTAGGCCTAATGAAGACATAAAAATCGTTATCTACGACCAAACAGCATGGCAACCGCCACCAGCTAGTTTGATAACACTGAGCACACTTGCGAACGCTTTTCTAATTCTTATCAAAGTCGTGAGCCGTGGCCGGGAAACGGTCTTCCTATAATCTGCTAGACAGTTTTTACGTGCCTAGTTATCCGATTCACCATTGCCTGATCTCAACACTTAACAATATACTTGTTTTTAAACCAACAGTTATTGTCGCCATTTGTATGTAGTTTCGTCGAGATTTTCCTTATAACTTCAACAGTATACGACGTGATGCAATTGTCTAAACTGAAAATATAAATGGACGTCACAGTATATATATATAATTAAGTACGTTATGTATATTATGATGATTACTTATATGGGACATGTCCGTGTGATGTATTGTAACGGATCGCAGGTAATTCAATTCAATTCAAATCAGTTTATTATAGTGTCACATGTAAAAGGTACAAGTATTACAATCTCTAAAATATGTCTACTCACCCACCCTTACATCCAGTCTACTATATTAGACTTACGAGACACTCACTCTTCCCCTATCATTCTAGACTGTAAAAGTGTTACATATATGTACATACTTATAAATTAAAAGCTTACAGTAGCATTTTAACATTATTGGAGTTATGCAATTGGCAAAAGCGCATAAGTCGTGTATTAATGTTGGCCTATAGGATGCGTGATGAGCGAGAGTGGTTGAGCCAATCCCTACCGACATGTCGCCCATCCCCCATCCAAGGGCCAAACAAATGTCCCCAGATGTAGATAAATAGCTGGATGAATACCGTGTGTGATATATAGAGTCCATACACACGTGGTTAAATAGGCCTTTACCAATATAAGCATAGAGGACACTTTGTATAGAGCCCACGTACACACAATCAATAAAGCTTTGCAAATATAAAATATAAACATAATTGACATTAAAAGACACATTACTGCTTAATTATAGAACAAGTTGCGACGTCGATTAAGAATATTAACACAGGTTTTGGCACAGGACCTCGCCAAGTAAGGTTTGCTTATAATTACAACTAACTTTTCATCTTTACTCATATTGTAAAAATCACTTGTGATTTTACTGACCTCCTGCAATTGACCCGATCGGAGATCATCATACAAGTTACATTCTATCAAAACATGACTCTCTGTTTCTACCACGCTTTTACACGCGAAACACTTTCTTTCACTGAAAGGTATTCTCTCATACCGGCCTGTTTCGATGCGTATCGGTGCAACCCCACACCTAAACTTAGCTAGCGCACTACGATGTGATTTAGGCATTACTAACATATTATGATTTTCTACCTCACAATCAAACTTAAATAACATGTACGTACGTTGTTTGTTCCATCCAGAAATAAAAAATTTGGCTCCGGGACGATTAAGTTCCCTTTTCCAATTTTCAATAAACAATTCCAAGCCACGGACCTTAACGTCCTTAAGTAATTTTTTACTATGAATTGGACCTGTGCTATTGTTATCCAAGCCTAGCTCCCGGAGTCTGGACATTGCCCTGAAGTTCCAATTTTTATTTCGGTGGTCACCTATATGCCCACTCCATGTAAATACAGCCTTATTCAATCTGGTATCCGACAGAATATGAAGACGACTCCAATGTCTAAAAACAGGTAGCTCAATTGGTTAGAGCGTTTGTCTAGAATTCGGAGGTCCCGGGTTCGAATTCCGGTCTAGCCGTGCATTTTTCCTCTCCTGTTACAAAGTTACATTATTGTTAAAAAATATGTCAATGTACATAAATTCAATTAATAAGCATTGTATAGACATTCCCCGTATGTGTTCCATTCCACTCATGTTGCATATTTTGTTTTCAGACATCACTAATGGACCAGGACATGTCGCTAATGAAGCAGCTGCTGATGCTGAACGAAGCTATCGAGGAGTTGAAGTTTCATCGTCGCTATAGCAACAGCTCTCTCCCCGACAGTTCCTGCGACCTGGTCAGTGATTCAGACGACGAATCGGTATCCGAAACAGACATGTTCGTGTCGGAGGACGATTTAGTAAAAATGTGCAACAACTGTCACCTTGGAAACGTGTTAACAAACTCCGTATCTACGTCATGTGACAATAACATCAATCATGTGACAACAAAACAGAGCAACATCATTCAGAGTAAAAATTTCTTGGACAAATCTTCTCGCGAGGAACAAAATGTTTCGTACGACTCTGGGTTCGAGTCTAGCTATGTGTCGTCATGAAACTACGGTCACGTGACAGTTATTTTCCTCAAGACACAATGGTGCTAATATTTTCTACAAACACGTGCATGCACGACAAGGGATACATTTTACAGTTTCCTGATTTACAACGATGGCGGGTGCCAGACGACAGATGTTTACAGTGTACAGCATCCTTTGTGTCCGTGCCGCACTAATGTTGCTCGTCCGAAACCACCGATCCTGAGATTGTCTTAAAATTGATAACGTACATATTGGCAAGATAGTTTTACTTAATTTTGGCGTTTTTAAAAAAGGTAACAGCATACATATGTAAATTACTTTTGAAATGGAACATTGGGAGCATTGATAACGTCTGCTCTGATAACCTCAGGTTCCTGGACGTACGGACGATCAATTGTAGATGCGGTGCGGACGTTCATTATACATTCCGACCGGCTGATTCTGTCAGTTACTTTATCATTAGACATATTGTATATGTAGTAGTGCTGTGGTACCTGTCCACGTTAGGTGAGGTTTTACCTCCAACCATTGGTTAACTCCAACCCCGACGGTATCCACTGTGTGGATAGACATATTGTGAGTAACATACCCTGTCGTTACAGGGTGCCGTTTCCCCGGAGGACGGGGGACAACGGTCCCGGAGGACGGGGCGCCACGACCCTAAAGAGGGACCGTGAACTCGTATTGAGTACCAAACAACCCCTATATACCGGGCAGAAACTCGTACGGAGAACAATGAGCCAATACTATATATTTGAAGCTCGTACTCCGAGTAAAAAACACATTACTCGTTGGTAAAATATTTTAGAGACGATTAACAGCAGATAAGTTACACTCGCACGAGTAAAAAATGGGTCCAAAACTCACATGAGTAACAAATCGGTAAGAAACTCGTGCGACTAGCAGGTATCTTTAAAACTCACGAGATCAACAGATGATTCAGAAACACACATGAGTCACAAACTTGTACGAGAAATAGAAGCGTCAGAAAATCGCAACTGAGAATCTGAATGAAAAAACAGTGTGGCATTTGAATAAGATCTCGTGAGCCTAGCACACTTGTCGGAAGAATACGACATAACGTTTCTGGCAAAACATAATCCCGGAAGTGTCTTTCTGGTCGTGTCTGTTGTTTCAAAAGCCCGTATTAGCATGATCATTTGGTGGTGTTCTCATGAACGCTTGTCTTTACGGGCTTTTGTTATTCAAGATATGACCCGGATGTGTGCTGGGGACATCTAGGTTTCGAAGAAGCTTCGAAAACCTGGAACCAAACAAAACGTTTCGAACAATTTCGGATCAGATCTATTTAGGATGGATATTCGCGTTTGATAGTGACGTACTCAATTTCGTATTAAAGTACAAGTTATTATATCCAAAGTTGAAAAAAATAATTTGATGTCACATATTGTTAAGAATTCAATAATATACAAAATATAACGTGTTTAACGCCTTTCCCTGACGTACTCCATCCTAGATGATCTGTGGTAAGGCGTTAGAACAGAGACCTCTCCTCTCTAACGCATAAGTAACATTTAACCACAAAAGTGTGATTAACACAAAAAAGAAAGGATTTTTCTTTACTTAAGATAAATTTGAATGAGAAAAAAGAATGCAGTTAATATTTAATCAATTGGTGATTTGAGGAATCATAGAGTAAGTCTTTCCCCCTCTCCCCTTCCTCTTTTCTAAGAACCGTGATCCAGAAAACGGATGGTTAAAATTTTATAATTAATATCTTAACTGATATTAGCTGTTTTGTTTAATTCATAATAGTTTATTACATATTTGAGAAAATTACGTATTGAGAAGGGGAAATGGTTTCATTATATTTTGTTTTCTGAATTTGAACAAAATATTCAATGTAATGTACTGTTTTTCTGTGCAATCTTAAATGGATTTGTCATTCTTTTCTCTCAACAAATGTTGTAGTTTCATATCTATTTCAGGTAATTGATAAGGCGCTATACAAATGTTGTAGATAATATCGGATTTTTGGTTTGCGCTGTCATTGATTTTGTAATCATCATGGTGATGTCGTTGTCCTTTTGTTTAGTAATAATAGAATTTGGGAAAAAATGGAGTAAATCAGTAATTTCAGTCTCTGAAAAAACGGGGTTTTCATGTAAAATTCAAATTTCATAAGCTGACATTTACTTATAGAATTTTTCGGTCGACAAAAGCTTCTTAAATAACTAATTAGTTAAACGGGACTGTTTTATATTGAGTGCTCGTTTTCAGAGATTGTATTATTCGGTCTAGACGGAGACGTATACAACCGCAGTAGTTTATACGTCTCTGGCCTAGGGTGGCGATTGACAAAAGTGTCTCCTATAACCGGAAATAATAATAAATATTGATGCATAAAATAAGTGCAAAAAGGAGAGAGAATAAAAGAGGGGTGATGATGGGAGAAAAAAACAAAAAGACAATTTCGGATAAAGAGGGAGAGAGAAAATGGTGGTTGAGGTTGGTTGGTGGGGTGGGAGTGATGCTGGGAGGGGAAACAGGAAGAGTTATGATTAATATGGGGAGGGAGAATGGGGTTGGGGGGTAGGGGGGTTCTGGTGGGATGAGGGAGGGGAATGGGAACAGGGAAAGTTTGAATAAAGATTGAGAGAAAATTGGCGCGGGGTGGGGGTGATGACGGGAGAAGATACAGTAAAAATTCAGATAAATATGGAGAGAGAGAATGGTGGGGTGGGGGTGAAGGTAGGAGTTATCCGACCGGAATTATAAAAGTGCTATACTTTACCATACTCAATGCTAATTATATATCAATAAGTTATTAATGTTGTGCTTATTACTGCCGATCTATATTCTATATGTGATTCAGTTTGAAGAAACTTTTATCTTTTGGAACAAAATAAAGCAAAATTACTTATATCATTGTTTTGTCTTGTATTCCGAAATGCATTTAAGTTTTGTTTAAGCTGTACGACCATAGTAGCTGACGCAGTAAACTAGTCTTTTCGACTCGAACATGGCTATAGAGTAGCAAGTCTGTATGCTATTCTGTGATTCAATGACGTAATTCAAAAACCCGAGACCAGAGTATCACACTAACAAGGTTGTACTCGCACCAAACATACACCTGGACCTTCTACCGTAGACCCTTACAGACTCCTTTAAGTGGATTTTTCATTTTTGTAGGAGACATCAAACCGAACATACACCTGGAAGTCCAAGGTTTCCGTTCTCGATCCCAAGGACCTGAGAATTTGCTACAGCTACATAGATTTGGACCTAAGCTAAGGTCTTAAGAGTATATTATCATCATTGGGGGTGGCAGTTTTACGGAAATTGATCTAAACTCCTAAAATGTGTAAAATTAATTTAAACAAATTCCCAGGTCCCTGTGCGCTCCATAGATATATCTTAAGTGCAGAGAAGATATGAGTGTCTTTAGTGGAACCGTTGGATTTCGATGAAGAATTTGAAAAAGATTCAGATATTTAATTGGGAATACTTTATCTCACTTTTTATTGATATGGACCATATAAAGCACTCGGTCATGAATGGAATTTTATCGGGTCTAATTATTAAAATAATATATATATATATATACTATACGTAAGAAAATTTCTTCAGCTAAACCGTGCAATAGACCTTTATTCTATTCACACAGAAAACAATGCTACTTGTTTAAAACAAAAATTGCTGTGTTGTGCTCAACTAATAGTGTGCTGTAAAAGTTTCTGTAAGTCTGTGATATTTGATGTGACCTAACGGCCAACAGTACAGTATTACTGTAGTTGAGAACATAAGAATTAACTAAATCTGGTAGTGTATTCAAGACTGATATATTTATATATTAAAAATTCGTCTTAACTCTACTTAAAATTTGTCATTAATGGTGACGTTTAGAAAATATAGAATATATTTAAGAAGTTTTTATCATGAACTGCCGTTTTCATTTCGTTTACTTTTAAATACACAAGCAGACATAATGGTTGTTCTAAGCCACATGCTATTTATGTAAAACACACTTATTGGCCACGTTTATCAGGGAAATTAATCAAGATAAGCAGTGCCTGTTCGTTTGTTTACTTTAAAATATATACCGCCGCGACGTTTTATGGTCTGCGTCCTATTTATAGGGGGTCTTTCTGATAATGTTTCAATTAAAACGTCCAAATAAAATTAAATGTGAACTGATTAAGACAAGCTCGCTATAATGGAACGTACTAGGAAATGGCGCGTCGTTTGATTAAACATAAGCGTTGTTTTCGCAATTTTTATTGTTTTGCCATCATATCTTTGTTTTCTAATTGATTGAATTAAATTATTGCATAAATCTTTTTTCCCGTTATTCAGGATAACTACTAAAGTGATATTTTGTTTTTATATAAAAAAATACATAATGTTTCTTTACACTATAAAGATATGGGTCATATAAACAATTTACTTATCTGAATTAAATTAATCTATTAATTTATTCGAAAGTGGTAACAAAAAAAAAAGGTATAATAGCCGAAACGAACTTTTCCGGAATTACTTCAAAATAGAATGTGGTCGTCATTTGATCCAAATGTTGATAACTTTTCTAAAAAAAAATTGTGATTAAATTACTTGGTCCAGATGTGATAAATAAGAAGGATAAAAGTCTACCCGAAAAAAAATATGAAAATACATGTTTACATTGATTTGAATGACACTCCAGACATCCTTGTCGATGTTATGATAACGCGAAATGGACAACAGTGTGATTTGAATTGCAGTGACTTCGGTGGTTTTCGCTTTATGACGAGATCAGACATGATATAATTTCGACAAAAAATATGTGTAACTATTTATTAAGTACCTCCGGGAATCAGACCTGACTTTCTATGTTACCTTTAAATGTCTACCTGGGTTTATAGATAAGACATCCGTACCTGTTATCGGTGCAGATCTGTGGTAAATGGGGACATCTATAGACATAGCCGAGGTCCTTTCTCCGTTATCGCGCGCTACAGGGGGTACTCGTCTTTGTGTAGCAGGTAAATCGATACACCCCCAATCAAATAACACCTCTGCTCTGTCATAAACACCGGCTTTCGGAAGCTTTCGGGAGGGATCTCTTTTAATAACTTAATTGAATTTTACTTTGGGTTCTTCACAAGAAATCTGATACATTATTAGATATTCTATACCATAAATCTCAAAACGTGAAATTTAAAAACATGTGAAAGAAAAATCTAAACAAACAGTTGTAAGTTTCAGAGCAGTTAATTATGTAAATATACGAGTTGACGTGGGACAGGATGTTTCTTTACCGATATACACCTTACCTCTATCAGCGGTAAGCACGAGTTCGCGTTCCAGTTCGTTCTTTACAAAACTAATATGTGTAATATATACTTCAGGAAAGCAAGTGTTGACACTAAATAGGACACTGAAATGACGCATACACGGATCTAAATATTTGACTGAATTAACAAAAGGTGAAAATAGGAAAAAGTACATAGATACAGCTAGGTATGTTTACCCTATAGGGGTTCACACACCTGCCCAGGTGAGCAGCAGGCAGAACCGCTGATCATTTAAAACGTATACGTCATTACTGAACCTGAGGAGATTCTTTGTGGCGAGATTGTCAACATTTACAGGGAATTTACCCGTAGGTCAAGTTGTTGGTACCGGGGTACAAGGAGTTAGCACCCTGACCTGCTGGGCGTGATACAATGTCAGTGTTTATTTATATGTAAATACTTACAGTCCTTTGTTAGGTATATTTATTTTCATGTTACATATTTTAACTCTTGTTACTTTAAATAACGCGTTTATTTGTCCAATAAAATGGACCCAAGTGGATTGGCCAGTAAGGTAAATACGCATAATTACAAACGGTATTTACCATGGATACTGCACAAATCACATGTTGAAGGGTCATCCAATCTAATCGACGAGATATCTGCCCGCTGATGGTCAAGTTCGTCAATATAACAAGATCTGGAGGCGAAGTGAATGGTTCTAAAATCGTTTTTATCTATCGTTTTTCTCTCTTAAAAATAGGTAAAAAATACCTTCTTCAGAATATCTAGGAAGTGACAAGAAACTTGACTCTTGCAAAATGGTCAAGGTCATACATTTCATTTTTTTTTCAAGTTTTATTCGAACTTTAGGCCATTGACCCATCAGTTTACAAGACATATTATACACAAATCATGGACAATGTACAGAGAATGAAGACAATCATATTCCATTATAATACCTTTAATTTGTTTGCCTCATAGATGAATTTTGCTAGCATACACAATTCTTTAATAGTATGGACACTCAATAACTGAACGACTTTAAACACAGATGGTTTTTTCCAATAATAGCTTTTAATAAAACGTGATCTGAGATTTTGGAATTTTAGAACAGACGAATAAAAAATGAAATTTGTCCTCTACTTCAGAGGGGGAGTTACACTGTTTACAATATCTACGTTCTCTAGGTATATTATTATACCTTCCACCTTCTACAGCCAAAGAATGTGTAGATGTACGGATTCGAGTTAAACAAATGCGATATTTCATTGGTATATATTTTGTGAGGTAAAATTGTAATGATTCTCCAAAACCTATGATATTTTTATACAATAAACATTTTAGAGAGTTTTCCACTGAGGCCTTTAGGGATTGTATGCCTTGATCAAAAATTCTTTGTTTTGTCAATGGTAATAACAAATTTTGCTGAGAGATACATGGATTTAACCAAACATCACTAAGACCTAGATCATTTAATTCATCTCTTACTGCTATAGCCCAGTTGAAATCATTTTTACCACAACATTGTAATAAAAATCTATAGGAAGTGGATATGATACAATTTTCAGATTTTAAGATCTTAAACCAATATTTCATCATTCTATTTTTTCTCATCCAAACTAGAGGTAACCGTCCCAATTCAAGATATACCATGTTGTTATTGGCCGATTCCTTCACTTTTAGTAATTTCTTGCAAAAATGTAAATGCACATGTTCAATATCTGTAGCTTTGTGCATACATAACACCAGATATTTTGCTGCTGAAGAGTCAAAGGTCATCAATACAAAAAAATATATCTTGGTAATGAAGGGTCAATGTCTTCAATACAATCAGATATCTGGCTACTGAAAGGTCATCGATACAATGTACATATGGCCGCTGAACGGTCAACATCATCATTGCAATAATATATTTGGGTGCCGAAGAGTCAATGTCATAAATACAAAGGATATCTGACTGCTGCAATGTCAATATAATCAATACATTATGATATTAGGCCGCCGAGAGTCAATGTCATAAATACAATCAGATGTCAGACTGCTTAAAGTTTAAGGTTACCAGCAATACAATTAGATAGCCACCGGAACTGTTAATATGTCATCGTTTCCATTACTGAATTTGATGTTGTTGATTGAACGGCCAGATCAGGATTCGAACCCGAGACCCTCCGAACCCTAGACGGACTCTTTACCAAATCATGAGCTGCCGACGATCGATCCTGTCAAGTTCCGTGACACTCTTTCCACGCCATTGCTAACTCCAGCAAAGCAGACATTTTTATTTGCATATTTTGTACACGCCAGACTCAGACAAGGTTAAAATAAGGTTAATAGAACCATAATTTGTAAATAATTTTCACACGTATTTTGATAATCTTACAACTGAAAGAAAAAGACATCATGAAAACGAAGACAGATACCACAGACCTAGTAACAGATGTGTTTAAGGTCACAATAAAGGCTAAACTTGTGATGTTTAATTACACAAAAAAAAAATCATGTATGATGCTGTGTCATCTTATATATATTAAACCCGACGTGCCCGGGGGCCGCGTTGTGTCTGGAGCCGAAGTATCGTGTTCCATTCCATTTCACATTTCGTGGTTTACATTAAGAACGAATTCCCCGTTACACATTAAAAAGACAC